CGTGGCGCGTCTTGTGAATAGCCAGATATTTGTTACAATGGATTTGCGTGCAAATGCGAATAACAAAAACGTCTTCATTTGGCAGCGACGCGCTGTCTGCAAAGATGCTTAGCTGCCTTGGCTTGATTGCCTCTTGCAATTGCGTCAGCTCAGAGAGCAGGAGAGAGAGAGAGGGAGAGGTGGGTACAGAGGCAGAGTCAAAGTGTTGTGGTGGCTTAGTGGTTAGCCAGCCACCCACTCACTCATTTGTGCAGCTAATACACTCTGCGAAACGACGCTGACTATAAAAGACATGAATTATTGGCAGATACTCTGCAAAATGCTTAAGCGGGTATATTGGTTTTATAGCACAAGCGTGTGAAATGCAGTGAATGACTGCTGTGAGGCCATAAGGGCATATACATAAAGGGTATGTACACATAGGGTATATATCACTCATACGTACGACTGTATCATAGGGTATACACACATAGGGTATACATTGATACATGGGGCATATAGACACAGGGCATACTCACATAGGGTATATACATAAAGGGCATAGTCTGAGCTGACCAAGCAAGATTAATGTTTTTTTCGATAACTCTACGGCAGCAACAGTTGAAGTTATCGATAACACTTGGCTCTTGATATATTCAGCAGCATTTGCCATTTGATTATGAATCATCTCACATTCTAAATAACGTAATCACAAAAATTGTTAACACAATTCATCGAGAAGTCTGTTTTTCGTACAGATGCTTGAAGAGTCTGAGCATGACTGTACTGCCTTGAAAGCAACATTCAGACGTAGATGGTAAGAAGGGACGAATATACGTAGGAAGATTCAGAAATGTTGAAACGACTGAAGTTTAACCTGAAAGCTTTTCATGCTCAAGTCTAAAGGCTACAGACATCCAATTTGTTGCATAGATGCTCGCCTAATATACACACACTTGGAGCATGCTCTTTTTCATACAGCATCCATATAACACACAAATTGAATAAGATATAGGAGCTAGCAAACAGCAGAAGCACAGCAACTGCTAGTCGAGCAAAGCCGCTCAGAGCCAAGCTACTGCTTACCTAAAGAAAAACGCTTAAAGTTGCTCTTAACGAGTGAACACTGTATGCATAGCAATGCTGCCTTTCAGAGAAGAAACCAAATTAATAAAGAAAATTGCTTGCATTTTGTGTTTTCTGTCAGTGTAGGCAAAAGGTAGATGCTGCTGCAGCAGCAGCTGCTGCTGATGCGATGCTATTGAACTTTTGCTATTTTGCCAAGATTCCCACACACCTGCAGCAGCAGCAGCAGCAGCAGCAGCAGCAGCAACAGCCTCCCACTTGCAGCAGCGTGTGAAACGTTCGACGATGTTTTTGAGGCGTGACACGAAACTTTGTTTCAAGTACGTTTAGTTGCCGTTGCTGCTGCTGCTGTTGCGCCCTAATGCGATTGTCAGGGTAAATGACCGAACGAGCGACGCGCAAAAATTGAATTGTTTTGCATAAATTGATGTTTGTTCGTCGCTCGTTGTTGTTGTTTTTTTAATTGAAGTGCGGCAAGTTTGTTGCCTAAGTCATTCGTTTGCCCACGCGCACAGCTGCCGCAGCAACTGACGCGCCGCAACAGCTGGCAAACGCGCAGCTGCCCACAGCGACAACTACAACAACAAACTGTCTGTCCCACAAGCAAAACTGGCTTAACTGGGCGTGGCCTCTGATAAAGTCAGCTGCAAAAATAGATCCACGCTTCTGTCAACTCTCCTGCCGCACTGCATCCTTCTCTTCTGCACAGCGAAAGTTGCAACAAGCTGAACTCGTCTCTCTGCCTCTCTGCGAGTCCCTATCTACCTCTCTCTTACTCTCTCTTGCCTGAGCAGCCCTCATTCTTCTCTCTCTCTCTCTCTCTTTCTCTTTATCTGTTCTGTTTGCATTTGTTAAATTAAAAACAAAAGTTAAAACTGGTTAGAATATGAGATTTGCTAGATTTTTAGAGCCGTTTACACTGAGCGAAATTAGGCATCAAAAGGATTTAGATATATCAACGACTTAAGCTTAAGAGGAAACACAAGCCAAATGGCTAAACTCTCGGCTTTAAAGCTAACTCAGTGTGCCAAATTGGGCCTGAACAGAAGAATACAAAAGCAGCATGACTAGCATATACCCTGTTGGTAAGTTGGTTGAGGTAAAGAGAAGATCTAGACATAATCTGAGGCATTTATAGTCCACATGCCAAATGAGTTGTGTCTAGCTTTGATGCGCTTCAGTTTATGCATCAAAGGCCAATTCAAAAGATCGACTTTTATCGATGAGCTGAGTTATCGATAAATATATTAAGCTGGTTGCATGATAAATATATATTGCATCTATTCGATCTCTAGAGTTTAATATACCCAGCGACACTTTTCATTCGCATCCCACTAGAAGGAACAATTTGACTGATTCCCATGTTTTCCCATGAGCTTGGCCACGTCTTCAGTTGCCTGTTACAAACATTTTCAACCCACCAATATACCCGCTCTCTTTAACGAAACTTTCGCATGGCTAAGCCCAGCCGTACTAACTGCAGTCAGCAGTCAGCACGTTTGCTAGTCGGATACTCCCGACGCGAGCACTCTTACCCATTTGCATGCACTCAGAGATACCCTTGCAAGGCACTCAACAGCAATTGAAATTGTTTGTTTGTCGGCTGCATTTGTTGTTGTTAAGTAAAAACTGGCTCGCTCGTTTGCCCGGCTGCAACAGTTGCTGCTGCGGCTGCTGCTGCTGCTTATCCTACAAATGCCAATCCGCAGCGCCAACCAGTCCCCAACTTCGTCTCTCCGTCCCTGCGTCCGTCCAGACTGTTAGAAATGCCGTCCGAGGCGGCCAACTGGCTGGGCAACTGCAATTGGGATTGGGACTGGGACTGGGACTGGGCCGCTGGGCGTTCAACTGGTTGCTGCTTTATTTCTTTATATATGCATACTCGCTCAGCACGTAAGAAGAGAGTGTATATGGTTCTGCTGCTGCCTTAGCTAGAGCCTTGAAATTGCTTAATAAACTTGGCAAGTTTTTCAGCTGCCATGAGGCAGATCAATCAAGCTTGCATAGTCTCGCCTCACAGAACCTGGAGCGAGTTATTCCACAGCTTCTCTATAGACCTCCACTTGAGGCGTGGCAGTTCCATATAGATCCTTCATTTATGGAACTAGCAAGGGCAAAAGGCAACTTAATGTATGGAACGAGTATTAGGCAGTCGGATATGCCCGTTCAGTAACTGATTTTCGTTTTTGCTGCCTTTTTGCCGGCAGTTTTGAATTACAAAAGGAGCCTTTTCATGGGGCCGCCTGCAACAGCAGCAGCAGCAGCATTTTTTATAATTTCAATTTTGTGTATCTATGAGATATGCCGCACCGTGAATTGGCATTTTGTATTATGCATTTTATACCCTGTATAGCATATTACTATGGGGTAACTTCTTGCTGAATTTGGATTTGTAGTCAAGTCCTGTGCAAAACAGGAAATACCCATAGTTTTTCTGCCTTCTTATGCCAAAAGCTGCTATAACTGTTCCTCCATAACCAATTCGCTTTTCTAACGCCCCAGTCATACATATTCCATATTCCCGTAGCAAAGTTGTCTCACAGTTCCATGTTGAGTCGTCCTTGCGATACGTTTTCTTATATGCTAAGTCATAGTGGCAATTTCTTATAAGAAAATTTGTCCTATTTGCCAATTAAATAGGTCTTTCCCTGCCTAAGTTTAAAGTTCTATTCCAGTAAAATTTTGTTCCTCTTCTTAAGTCAAATGGCATCTATTTACAGGGTATTTTTAAGTGCAGCTCATGCGATCGGGCTGCTTGCTGTGTTTGTTTTATGCATTTTGCAATACTGCGAAATACCGCAATTTCTTGCAGTGTGACCAGAGCATCACAACAGCAACTCCAACGCCTGGTAATTAAAATACAATTAACGCCGCAAATTGATGATGATGATGATTATGTTGATGCTGGTGATCATAATGATGATGCTTATCGTAATGAACGTTGATGTTGATGTTGATGATGACGAGTGGCCAGGAAATGCAATTAACCGATTGGCCCACAAGTCGCCAAACGCCATTCGAAAGTCTTTTGCCTCGCGCTTAACACTGATTGAATGTGTGTGTGTGTGTGTGTGTGTGCAGTTGCATAAGCTTGGCTTCAACTTAGTCAGCCGCTAGCCGTTTCAGGCCAAACGCGCCATCACTCAATCATAATCAATTGGCCGCGCATGGAAAGCGAGCGGCCCCCAGGCCGGGGGCGTGGCGCACGAGAACTTTCTAGTTGCTTGAACCCAATATGGAGCAAATCATTAGACACGATGACAGTGACAAAAAAACCCCAAATATTATTTTGTATTTAATAAAGTTTTATAATTGAAGGCCGCACGCAATGGACGAAAAATTGGTGTCGAGCCGTTAGGCGGCTTAGGTTGCCGCCACAGACGGTCTGGCAACCCTATGGCTTAACAATAGCAAAACGTAAACAAACGAAGGCATCGAATTACAAGTGTTGTAAATCTTGTGTATGTGTATGGGTGTGTGTTTGTGTTTTGGTTTTTCTTTACCTCATTTGTGTGTGGGTCGCTTAGCAGAAGAAGAGAAGCACGCCCAGCAACAACAATAGCCAAGCGCTTCTGCAATTGGAGCGCAGCGAGCGACGCGCGAAATTCTCGAGTTGCAAAATGAAAACAGAAAATAACTTTTGTTGCTGTTGTTGCTGTTGTCGCTTTTGTTGTGTTTCGTATTTGTTTTCGGCTTAATTCTGCTGCTGCTGCTATTGCTGGCCAGTGCACTTTACACTTTTGTGGCTTGGCTCTTCAGGCTTCACTGAGTGCGCAGACACAGGTGCAATTCGCTGCATAGCAACATATATTTGTTTTCGTTTTAATTTTTATTTACAATAAAAAAAAACACATTTTCAGCACATTTCACACAAAGAGCGGTGCACACTGAACTTTGCGTTTCAAAAAACAAACTAAATTTAAATTTTAGCATACGTATGTTATTTGAACAGCCGGCGCGCGTACTTTAAAGCAGCAAAATACAAAAAAAAATGTTATTGGTAAAAATAAAATAAATGCGTCGCTTTGCAACTTGAGCGCACGAAGATCAGCAACAAATTGAACGCTCAACTGAGCAGTGTGACCATGTTGGGCCGTTCGAAAAACGTCAACTCAACTATATCAATAATACTGCACATTCTTCAGTGTAGCGAAATATCGACTAGCATTATTCATTTAGTGTAATATTATTTTGGTATTTTTACTGGAATGCCTGTAAAATTGTTATACGATATCAAATTTATAAATAGTATTAGAGTCAAATAATATGCGTCTATGGTATATCGTTAAAATCGGAGGAGGGATACATATTTATCTTTGATTTATTTATAGATGCCTAGATTGTCGTTCTATACGCACTTACGCAGTTCTTAATATATTATTGGTAAGCATAAAAAGATAATATCAACATTTTGATATTAATCAGTGGAACAAATACAAATTGATTCACTTGAATTTTGAATATATGTTACTTGCCGCGCAATCTGTATTGCTTATGTCTTATCGATAACATCAATACCTTTGCTTATATTAATCGAATATGTATAAGTGTGACAGACCAATACCAAACAGCTGTTAGTTTCCGCTGTTGTGCGACAATTTTTTTTTTTAATATATTTCATAATAATTTTGATTGAACATTTAGTTCGCTAAATTAGCTTTAAGCTGTATTAAATAATTATGCAAACAACACGCAATTTGTGCCATCTGACCCGCTTCATGCTAAGGCGCACAGTTGCAACAACTACTAATGAAACAACGGGCTCTGCTGGCGGCAGCGCCGGCGGCACAGAGCAGACAACACATTTTGGCTACCAGACGGTCAAGGAGAGCGAGAAGGAGCGCAAGGGTAAATAACATATATATATGCACTCAAGGGCGATATTGACTTAGCATCATAATCCATATAGTACACGAGGTGTTTCAGCAGGTGGCCCAGTCTTACGATCTGATGAACGATGCCATGTCCATGGGCATACATCGTGTGTGGAAGGATATTTTCGTTGAGCGCCTGGGACCAGAGCATGGTATGCGTTTGCTGGACATGGCCGGTGGCACAGGCGACATCAGCTTTCGTTACCTGAAATATTTGGCCAATAAGCCAAATCCCAAGCAACGGGAAAGTCATGTAACGGTCTCCGATATCAATCAGCATATGTTGAATGTGGGCGAAGAGCGTGCCCGTCAGCTGGGACTGACCGTTAAGCAGCTGCCCAATGCCAGCATTGATTGGCAGTGTGCCGATGCCGAGAAGTTGCCATTCAAGAGCGATACCTATACTGCCTACACAATTGCCTTTGGCATACGCAACTGCACGCACGTGGACAAGGTGAGTAAATGGACCTATACCTGGACTACATTTAGCTAAGTCACTCTTTTGCATTAGGTGCTCAGCGAGGCTTATCGTGTGCTGCAGCCTGGCGGACGTTTCATGTGCCTGGAATTTAGCCACTTGACCAATGAGACAATGCAATGGCTATACGATCAATACTCTTTCCAAGTGATACCGCCCATGGGTCAACTGTTGGCTGGGCAATGGCACGCGTATCAATACCTAGTGGAGAGCATAAGACGCTTTCCACGCCAGGATCAATTCAAGAGCATGATCGAACAGGCTGGCTTCTCGCATGTATCCTACGAGAATCTAACCTTCGGTGTCGTTAGCATACACTCGGGCTTTAAGCTATAGAAAACTGTTGCGGAATCGCGGAACGTTCAGGCATGCCAAACACGTTTTCCACGCGTTTATTTTATGATTTCCTTAAATAATAATACAAAAATTGTATAAACCTTGTTAACATATTAAAAGTACAAATTTATTGTACGCTCGTCCAGCTTGGGAAAGACCTTGACTAGGTTTTTCCATTTTAGTTGAGCGTGTTTCGTTTCAAATCGTTGATTTTCCAAAAAGTGAAAATGTAAATTGTAATTGAAAGTTCATTTCAGATTCGATAAGTGTGTGTGCGTGTGTGTGTGTGTGATATAATGTCAATTGCCACGCCTTCATTATGAGCTGAGCTCGATCAAATTTAGTGCAAGTGAAATTTATGCGTGTGAATGTTGAATTTTAACTAAAGCTAAGCGAAATACAATAAAATCAAAATCGAATCAAACTAATTAACAGTTTATCGAAGTACTTCAATTGCTATTTGTTTTCTTCTTCTTCCTCGCTTCTCACATTGCTTTGCATTTTAAATTTGCTTTCGCTTCCTCAAACACAGCAAATTGGCAGCACTTTGCTCGGCTTTGATTGGCCCAGTTTCGTTTGTCCGCCGCTGATGGGCTGCACTTTGTGATGTAACCGGGTCATAAAAGGCTTCGGCTCGCCATCAAAATGGCCCAAAAATATTGAGTGAATAATATCGGCTGCCTTTTCAACCCACCAGAAAGTGAAAACAACAACAATAAGAAATGCGGAACATGCTAAATGAAAACAAAAGTTGTTTCGTACGTGCAGAAACGTGCCAGCGGCACAGGTGGCCAGACAGTGGGACAGCACAGGCCGACAGACTTGCCCACCCCCTCATAATAATGTACAGTGGTAATGAAACCGAAAAGGCAGACGAAAAACAAAGGTAAAAAGATATTGCGGATTAGAAGTAGAATGAAGAAAACAACTCAGTAAGATAGCTTACAAACGGAACAGTTGGAAATGAAAGACTTTAAGGCTTCAAACATCTCAAATTTTTCTCTTTTAGTAAAGCAATTCACGACTCTTTACAATTGATCAGTAGTTGAAGAATTTAAGGAAACAGTGGAAATGGAACACATTTTTATGATTGCTTTAAATAGCAGTAATTGAAAATGGAAATGTTATGTAAGCAAAACTAAACGTTCATTGGATCACTGCTTGAGAAACAAGTGGAATGAGAAACAAATAAAAATGAAACAAGAGAGTGTAAATAAATGTATTTTAAATACAGATTTGATTGAAAATATAGCATGAATTTCGATTCAGCGAAACAAATGGAAGTGGAACAGATGCACGTTACATAAAAAATAACAAAACAAAGGCCAAATGCATTTAGTAACCATTTTTTGAATATAGGTGTATTATATATTAGATTATTTAAGTGCAACAAATGGAAATGGAACAGAGACACTTGTTATTAAAACATAAATAGTAACTAGTTTATAATAAATCCTTTATAATATTTTTGTATATATGTACATATGTATATCATCAATTGAAACAAATGGAAATGGAACAGAGACACGTGTTATTCAAAATGAAAAGAAAAAATGCATAATAAATCCTTTTGAATATTTATGTATAAATTTACATATGTAAATCAATCACTTGAAACGAATGGAAATGGAACACTACAGAAAACGAAATGCAAATAAATTCGAATTTTACTGCCAATATAATCATCTCACTAAAAATGGTTGTGTTTTTTGTGTTTGGTGAACATCTGTTGCGTCCCACTGTGCGGCATAGATTGTGGTGCTCGGCTCGGAACGTGGAACGGTATCTGCTTGGCGTTAGCATAATGAGCCCCTGTCCAGCCAGGTGAAATGGTCGCGTAAAAGTCATAAACTGCCCAATTGCCGCTGGCCATGCCGATGAGCAGCGTGTGGTGCGTGGTGCGTGGTGCGTGGTGCGTGGTGCATTTGATGGTACTTGGTATGCAGCTGTGGTGGCTCAGCGGCTCAGCGGCTCGCTGGCTAGCTGTTGGCCATTGCACGTCGACATCCGCTTTATAAATACAACAAACACCAAGGAAGTTCATTTCATTTTCTTGGCAACAATCGACGCGTTGACATAATCCAACGCAAACGCTGATACGGATTACCCCAAGCACAGTGGAACCATTAACAACTCAATATATATATATATATACCCCTATTCATATATATCAACGTGATGAGTGGCCGCTTGAGTGTGATTTGTGCCAGGAGCAAACCTTTGCACCTGTTGCTCTTGCTCTGCGCTGTGCTGGCCAGCGGCAGCGTTGCCCAAGCAGCCTTACGCCTGCGTCATTCCAGCCGCCTGGTCAGCACCACGCCCACCACCGTGGCTACCACCAGCAGCAGCAGCAGCAGCGGCAGCAGCAGCAGCACCAGCAGTTCGACAGCTGAGGCTGATACCACGGAACAGCAGCTCGAGGTGTCGGCATCTGTGGCCGAGGAGCAGTCCTCACAGCCAGCCAAGCACAAGCGTGGCATACTCCATGGCGCATCCGGCCATTGGCCAGGACGTACCTATGCGGCGCAGTATGGCTATAGCCTGCAGTTGCCAGCAGCGGCTACTTTCCTAGCTGCAGCACCAGCTCATCGCCATCATGGCTTCATCAAGTATCCCACTGGCTATCATATCAAGCAATTTGCCAATGCTGCCGCTGGTTTCCTGCCCGCTGCCACATCGGTGACGGCGGTGCCTGCCCTGCCCGCTGTGCCCGCCCTGCCTGCTGTTGGCAGCATTGGCTCTGCTGTGGGTGGCATTGCCCCTGCTGTGGGTGGCATTGCCACTGCTGTTGCAGCTGGACCCTCGTATGTGCTGCGTCCGGGCAATGCTGTTGTCTCCTCCTACAGCGTCAACTATCCGCATCAGCATTTGCATAGACCCTTGAAGCCGATCCACTATCATCATGCCGTCCAGGTAAGCTCACTAGCTTGGCTCTGTAGTTTGTTGATCTAATCGCTCCGAAGCCTTCTTATGTACAGACTGTCGCGCCTGTGCCTGCTGCTCCCGCGTTGCCCATTCAGCCTGTTCAGCCCATACAGCCCATACAACCCGTTCAACCCGTTCAACCCGTTCAGCCCGTTCATCCTGGCATTAGCTTTTCCACGGCTGAGTTTCCAGTAGTGCCGCAGTTTTCAGCTCCAGCTGTGCCCACATTTGCTGTGCAGCCAGCTGTTCCAGCTGTTCCCGCTGTACCCGCTGTTCCAGCTTTTCCCGCTGTTCCAGCTGCTCCTACAACCCCAGAAGTTCCAGTGATACCACAAGCTCCACAAGTTCCACAAGTTCCACAAATTCCACAAGTTCCACAAATTCCACAAATTCCGCAAATACCACAAATTCCAGATATACCGCAGATACCACAATTCCCACAGTTCCCAACGTTCCCACAGTTCGGCGTGCCACAGTTCCCCTTCCCGCAGGTACCACAATTTCCACAGGCGCCTAGCGTACCCGTTGCTCCCGCTGCTCCCACTGTTCCCGCCACTCCAACCGCGCCCGCTGTACCCGCTATTCCCACTGTTCCGGCCATACCAACTGTGCCCGCGTTTCCCGCTGCGCCCGGCATTCCGCCCAACAGCCAATTCTTCCCGGCAAACGTGCAGCCGCCGCTGCCACAGCAGCCGCCCAGCTTCGGTCAGCCGGAGGCGCAGTTCCCGGGTGGCATAGTGCCGCTGCCTGGATCGACGCCGGTGCAGCCGGACACTGGCACCGCCATTGCCTCGCCGCAAATACCCAGCACACCGGAATCGGAACAGCCCGAGCAGCCGCTGCCCTCGCCACAGCCCACACAGCCGCAGCAGCCATGGAGGCCGGTCTTCTATCAGCCACCAGCCACGCCCGGCCGCCCATCCATAACCCTGTTGCCGCCCTACGGCAGCACGCCAGCTGATGGTGAGTCCTAGAGGAATGGTCTCGGTTTTCCTTTTGTTTTTCTACTCAGCGCCTTTCTATGCACTTCTCAGGCTACCTGCCGCCCGTTGGCACGCAATCCGCACAGCTGACGTCCTCCAGCGCCGGCCATGGCGCCCAGGATATCTTTGATCAGCTGAGCAATGCCGAAATCGAACACATCTTCGCCCAGGCGAATCTCGCGCATCACAACCACCAACAGCAGCAGCAGCAGCAGCAGCAGCAGCACAGCTATCAGCACTACTAAACCATCCACCAGCTGTTGGGCTTCATCTTGTCCACAAATTTTCTATAGCACTTTTTTTTGTTTTTTTTTTTTCATCTCTTGCTATCTATGATAATCTTTCCATATATCTATATATATTTAAATTATTATTAAATAAGTTATTTATCAGAAATCAAATTAAGTTTTCATTGCGAGTGGGGCAAACAAGCAGTGGCGTTGCAAGCAGTTTCAAAGCAGTTCAGGGCTAGCAACGCCTCTCTATTCAATTCTCAACAAATTCATGTTCATGTTCTCTGCTCTTCTCCTAAAGTTCAAATATCATCTGCAACACGCTTCTCCCAACTATCATCTCTTTGTGCTATACTCAAAAAAGTCTTGTAGGGTATCTCTTTATCTATCTCCCTCTGCCTCTCTCTCTCTCTCGCTACATCTCTTTGTCTCTCTCGCTCTTCCACTCTCTCTTTCTCTCGCGCTTTATCTCTGCCTCGTAGTCACACTATCTCTATTTCTCTCACTTTCCTTGTCTCCTTCTCTCTCTCTTTCTCTCTTTTTCTCTCACTCTCTGTCTATCCCTCTCTACCCCTCTTTCTCTGTCTCTGGGTCCCTCTCTATCTCTATTTTTCTCGTGCTCCTTGTCTCTTTCTTTCTCTCTGCCTGTCTCTCCCTATCTCTCTCTGCATCTTAGCCTCTTCATATCATTCTCTCCCTATCTCATTTACTTACTAGCTCTTAGTCCAAACTTAAATCTCAATCCTTATCTTCCAGTTGAATTAATTGCCGTTACTTTCTGTTAGCTTTAGCAGCAGCCGTAGTGTTTTCAGTGCAAAGCTTTTTGCCTTGAACTTGAGGAATGCCGCTCGGAGCTTTTTCATTCATAAACGCATCAGCTGTTTGCTCATTGAAGGCTAGATTTCGGCGTCGCTCATCGGGGCATTAGGCAATCGGGGCATCGGGCCATCGGGCCATTGGACCATCGGGCACCGGCAATTGGCATGCCACATGTTGCAAGCGCTCGTGTTGCCTCAGTTCTTACCGTTAGCTTCGCGAGCGCGCTGCCAACGGCTGCGCGCAAATCCCAAACAGTGCGAAGTTTTTTTTCGAGTGCTCAAATACAAAAGTTTGAAATTTCGAAAAATCAAAATAAAATAGTTAAAGTTTTCGATGCTTACGAAAAGTTCGAAATCGTAACTTTGTAACTTCGAGGCTTCGAAAGCACGAAATTCTTGAGTGTTTGTCGAAAATTCGATATCACACACAAATTTCGAAAATCGGAACTTCGAAATTTTGAAAATCTAAACTGAAAACTGAAGAGTTGAGCTGTTTTCCGAAACTTCGATATCGGATTCGAAACATAGGAATTTCGAAAACTTTGCAAACTGATCTCAGTCGAGTTGAAGTGAAAAGTGAATAAACTCGACGCGTGCTGTTTGTTGTTGTTATTGTTTTTTTTTTTTTTTTGTGCATTGTTTTCATAGAGCTGTGCCGATTGTTTATTATCAAATTCAACTCGGAGATAGATATTCGAAACGAAATCGAGTTCCAAGTAGTTGCCGCCGCTGTCATGACGATAATGATGATGCGTAAGTCTTGCACAAATAAACAAATTCGATTCGCACTGTTTATGCATTGGGAACAGATTCGTATTATTCGATTCAATTATTTTATATACTCGCTATGTTGGCAGCATTCGCCGATCAATAAAAACAAAATCTGCCATAGACATTGGCCATGTGGACCTGTTGCAAAAGAAGAAGCAGCAACAGCAACAGCAGCAGCAGCAGCAGCAGCAGCAGCAGCAGCTGGCTTCTAAATAGCTCGATGACTGCGCTCACGTGGTCGAGGCGAGTGGATCGAGGAACAGCTCAGGGGGATACTTGGAGGGCAATAGATAAACGAGTTGCTTGAGAGGGAACTAGAAACAGCTCAACTTAGGTAAAACTGGGGAAAATCGGTGCAAGTTGAATAAATATTGGGAACTTGAAGGAGGGTTGGCCATAGTATTATTTATTTATTATTATTTATTATTATTATTATTATTTATTATTATTTATTTAGGTAAGTGATCAGAGTTGAAAACTGAGAACAGTGTGAAAAATAAATAATAATATAATAAATAATATAAATAATGGGAAATGCGTTTGAATTTAGCTCATTAAATAATGGGAAATGTGATTAAATTTGGCGAATAATTGAATTGGAAATGATTATTAGGTAAGTTATAGATTTTTGTGAAGAGCCAGGAGCACTTAAGTCTTAAATAAAACTGGGTAGAGTGTGCAGTAAATAAAGGGAATATAGAAGAAGGAAGATTAATGGGAATGAAAACGAAGAATGTGATTGAAGAGCTAAAAGCAACTTCATGCAAGCGAAACCTTGAAACAATTTGGAGCACAGATATGGAACCTGATTTAATAATGGGAACTAATAATTAATTAAGGCAGGGAGTTAATGGAATAATTATAAATGGATGTGCGCAATGAGAGTTGTGACTTGAAAAGAGTGTGCTCAATGGGAATCTGATTAAAATCAAGGGGATTTTTGATGGAGTTGAGAATATAATTATATTCTATATTATATATATATTATATTCTATATTATATATTATATATATATTATATTCTATATTATATATTATATATAAATATATTCTCAACTCCATCAAAAATCCCCTTGAAATTAGAAACAAGGGTAAATAGTGAACGACGAACAAAGCAGGATATTTAATAAATTAAATTGAACTCAAAAAATAAAAAAATACATGTTCCATGAAGAGGTGAACTCCATACTAGGAACAGACTATTTGGTCATGAAGCTTATTTTAGAGCTATGCACAATTGTTATATCCACAATTAATCATTTATAAACTTGTTTATCACAAATGCCACAGTCGATTTGTTCATCAAAATTTTGGCGAATTTATTCTCAAGCCAATATCCATCTTCATATTTCAGGCACTTCAAATTTCACAATCAGATTTTTTGGAAATTGTGACCCAATTTTTAGTTTACTACCTGAAAATGTTCATATTTATTTATAATCGCGTTTATTTTGGGAAAACTTTTCATTTAGCAATCTAAAGATTTGCCATAGAGATCTCAAGCATAATTGGGGATCGTATAATTAGTATTATATAAATAGAGTTTGCTTGAAATGAGTGCTTGAAGTGTTTTAGATGAGTATATCTTTATTTCCCAATCGACTTGAAGTGCCCTTGAGATAATCTATAGATCTCTATAAATGACATATGTTTATACAGGGTATTCAAAGTTTGTGGATGGGCTTATGCTTTGCACAATAGAAAGCATGATTAGAACTTGCTTTGCTTTGGTCTACGTGTCTTACAGGGTATTCCTAGCATGTCCAAATGTCACTCAGCAAAGGTGTCGCGGGCACAAACAGTTTCAATTCCTTTGTTCATTGGTTTAAATGAAATTCTCAATTTGCATAATAATTTATGTTGATGAGCAACTGGAACTGGCAGTGCAGAGGGTATTATAGGGTATGGGCTATGTCGTTGAGAGTCGCCATGTTTCGTACTCGAGAACTCTATTTAATTTGTAATAAAATGTCATTAAGCGTAAATGCGAGATGTCGCTTAGATTTATGGTTTGGGCGAGAGTGGAGGTCAAATGAAAGCCTTGAAGTGGCACTGTGTGTGTGTGTGTGTGTGTGTGTGTGTGTGTGTGCGGTTACTGCGACTCCAGCTATCTGGTTGCTTCAGCCTGAGTCCAGTCCATGTCCAATGGCCGAAAGTTGGGTTATTAGCTTATGCAAATTCAACCGCTAGATGGCGCTCTACACACTGCAGACGGCCCACACCTTTGCACTCAGTTAATACGGCAATTGGTTTGGATTAAAAAGCGAAACCCAACAGCTGTTTGATCTTACCAAATGAATGGCGAAACCCCAAAAAAAAGAGGGCGTGACAACTAGGGACGACGAAGCGGATTTTTGCGGTCTTTAGTTGGCCTAAACGTTGCAAAATTTCACCTTTCAACTCGTTCACAAAGTGCAGAGGGTATTTTAGCCTGAGTCTCTGTATACAGAGACCGCTATCTTCTAATAAAGTGTATTATGCGGTCGGTCCCACCCGATTGCAACACTTTGACTCGAAATGAAGCCAAATATTAATTTTCACTTACTTTATGAGGCTTAATTAAATACTTGATCCCAAAGAGCCCTAGCTATAGCAATTACTTTGACTTCTAGTCAAGCTTTATTTTGATTCATTTTATATATAATGGAATGATTCACAGTGAAAATATATTTAAGTCTACTGTAAATGCTTTTTAAGCGCAGAGCTTTAAAATTTTGATGAGCTATAGCATGGGCTGTCAAGTGCTTGCCAACTTTTAACATTTAACTTAATGTGACGTTTAATTTCTATAGAATGTTTTTGAGTTAAGAGAGAGAGAGAGAGAGAGAAAGAGCGACAAAGATAGAGATGATAGAGAGCAACACAGACATCCTTTAAGCTGCGGCTTTTGCCATTGTCCTGTCAAAGTTAACATGCACTTTGAACTACATACAATATTAAGTTAATTTAGGTAATTTATTTATTTATTGATCGACTCAAGGCCAAGCTCTCGACATAAATCCAATTAGCTTTCAGCTACAGCTTCTCAATCGCTTTGCCTTCGACTCCGCCGCTGACTGCTTACATAACCTCAAATATACTTATTCTAGCTTCACAATTTCCGCCCACTCAGTCCAAAAACAAATTTGTTTCTCTATTTATTGAGCCACTTTCCAAAGTTCGCAAACCAACAACAAAAACAATAAATAAATACACAAATCCTTTTTGTGGCTTGGGCGTGAAAAGCGATGTGACAGGAAAAAACAAGTTCGGGCCTAGAGTGTGCTCGACTAGCAGATACCCTGCCTTGCACAGCAGCTAACTTTCAGGCACCCGCTGTAACAAGGCTCTCCTTTGATAGCAGCTGTATGAAATTCGGAAAAAATCATACCTCATTTTACGCCTCGGGATATTCTGATCTGCAAATCAGCCCTAGAAATAAAGT